ACTACAGAGAGAGAGAGAGAGAGAGAGAGAGAGAGAGAGAGAGAGAGAGAGAGAGAGAGAGAGAGAGAGAGAGAGAGAGAGAGAGAGTCTACAGTTCCACTACCCTGGACAACAACATGATGATTATTATTATTGCTGCTGATGTGTGGTCTTGTCTTCCTATACCATCTTCTTACTTCCCTTGCCTGTGATTGTGATATCCCTCTCTCCCCCCCTTCCCTTGCCTCCTGTGAGCTTTTAGACTCGTACCTGTTATGGGACAAATCCAGTTGCTTCAGCTCCAGTAGGCTTCCAATCTCCTCTGGGATAGATGTCAGCCCATTGTGACTGATTGAGAGGACCTGCAGCTTCTGCAGCCGTCCAATCTCCTGTGAGATTGAGTCGATGCTGAGGCAAATAAAAAACAAAGCGCACAGCAGGGCCAGCCAAGTCGGCAGCGAGTTAACATCGGCTTCATCTGCTACAAGTTCATAGGAAATACTCGTCCCGCTGTTTTTGTTATCTTCTGCACAATGGAAGGCAGCTATTCAGGATTCTAAGGACCTACCGCTACACCTCCCCATTAAACCACCAGTACTCTGCCCAGCTATTGATGCCGAGCCTATTTTTTTTGTCCTGCGCGCAGAGAAAAAATAGAAGCGACATGGGCCTGCTTTTGGCTGGCGCTGCTAGCCATTTCGGTCTGATATCTGAACTGAACCCCCAAAGAATGCGCCGTTAACGAGCCGCGACTTCCTTTTTCAAGCGGGGAAAGGTACTGGTGGTTTAAACTTTAAACCACCACCAGTACCTACCACATTTTCGTACCCCCCGGGTTGGAATGAATTTGAACCGGAGGGGCAGGCCGATTCGGCTACCGCGTTACCAGCCGCCCCAACCGGTAGGTACAGGTGGTTTAAGAAAAAGGAACCTGCAGAGAGACATCTGGCATCCTGGGACGCTTGATCCAGATCCCTACATCTCTGGACTTTCGTAGTACGCACTGCAGACATCGTTTTGCAAATTTCCATTTATCTGTATGTGAGAACTGATTTCAACAAAAAGACGAGAAAAAAGAAAAGAAACAAAAAAAAAGTTAAAAAATTGATAATCTGGTAACCTTCCTTTTCAGGTATAATTGGCATCATTTCAGGGCTGAATTTCCGGTCCTACCGGGGGGTCCTTCCCCCACCGGAACCGGGCCAGTGGCACCGGCCGGTGGACCGCGCTGGTTCCCCCCCGGTAGGAAATTGCGCCGACGGGTAGCGGCCAATTTCAAATTTTTTCGGGGGCCGGGAGGCCTCCCTGCGGGTCGTGGAGGCCTCCCGGCCCCAAAAAAAAATGAACCGGGTCCAGTACGCCCGCCAGAATCTTGAAAAACTGGCGGCCTATCTGGGCCGTCGATCTGATGAGATCGGCGGCCCAGATAGGCCGCCAGTTTTTGAACATTCGGGCGGGAAACCACCCGAAGTTCAACTGGCCAGCGTCAGTCCCCGCAACCCCGTGTGAAGCATTCCTCGTCACTTCGACACTTCGTCGCAGTGACGAGTGCGGGAAACCACCCGACTTTCGACTGCG